TATTAATTTAATTTTGAGTAGGTAATATCTTTGCATTGTTCAAAGATAAGAAAATACTCAAAGACATTCAAGAAAAGCCTTGCCCCCAATTCTGCCCACCATTTCCCTAGTCCTCCCGCCTCTTTATCCCATAGATAACTCCAGGGTTTCTTAATGCAAATGCAACAAAAACAAATATATTTATAAAAGAGCTGTCAGGAAGGTACCCAGCCATGTAACACTATGAGACTTATATCTCTCATTTAGTCTCATTTTAAATGACTCTGTATGATGTTTCAGAAATCCTGCTACAATTCTAGAATGGAAATAACTTTATGAGCTTTGTGGACTGGATTCTTGTAAATAGTAGAAATTGACTTACTAATAAAAAAGGATTTTTTTTCAATTTTTACCTTTGAGTAGTATCTTTGATTCTATTTCATAACCCTTTTTCTGACTACATAGTCATGTGTGCTCATCGTGGAATATTTGGGAAGTACAAGAACACACGAGGAAGAGCACGTTCATTTGTAACTCCATTTTGGTCTATATTTGCCCATCGTTTCACTCTGCATCTGTCCCGAGCTTCTCCATGGCCTTCCTGTGAGCTAATCTTACGCCATGTGCCCGAGTCGTGTATCCAGTATACTTTGTCATTACTGATATCTGGACTTCTACCCAAGTCTCAGTTTCACGCCTGGCCGTCCCTGACAGCCACCTCCAATCATTGTCTTCTCCTAGGATGCTCCCTGCAGCCCCTCTGGTGCCGGTGCCCTGGGGCCTCCGGTTATTGATTGCCCCCATCTACCCTCTTTCCAGCGTCAACCCTGCCCCTCACCTCCTCTTCACCAGGCTTAGAGATCAGTCAACTCGCTCTCCAGCACTGGCCTCAATCCTTTCCCTCAGTCCTGCTCAGGTGGCAGAATCCCAACTCCGGTTGATCCCACATGTCCGCCTACTCCAAGTTTGCACTGGAATTCCTGGATGTGGCTGGTGGGAAGACACACCACGTTGCAGGCTACATTGAAACCGATGACCACAAACCTCCAATAGGCTGCAGCGTTGCTGTGATGTTTCCCTAGTTATGTCACCCTTTTGCGCTCACACTGTCTCACACCTTCTTTTGTCTCCTCAGACCTCTATCCCTGTCCACGCTCCCCACTTTCCTTCAATGGTCTCACTCATCTCACTAAGGGATGTGATCAGAA